TTTCTTTTTTTGTTCATAAAGTTGCAGGCTGCCAGTACTTGTGTGTCATCATGTAAGAAAAATTATAGATTAGACTACGTGTTAAGACACCAGTAATGCTACTAAGTATGGTTACCTACTAAACTGTCAAGAAGCCAGAGCTCAGAATGTCGAATTTAGAATAAAGAAATACGGTGTTTTAAAAATTAATCTTTAAATAGACTTATTGCATACAACTATTTCTGGTCGGAAAAAAAAAAATCTAGATTTAAACAAAGACTTTAAAATGACAGTTGCCATAGTGTATTAGCCTGTAAAACTCCTTTACTCATAAATATAAAACTGTATTTGTTACACTCATGAATGTTCCAATACTTGAACTCATTTTAATTCAGTCATCATTTTTAATACACACACACATATATGCTAATATGCATTTCAGGTTACTATAGTGTTAAGAAACGGAACTATGACAAAGAAGCTACAGCCAATTCATTGCCTGCGAAGAAGTTAGCACAAACATTATAAAACTGAAGTTAATAGTGTATTTAACATTCTTTTCCCTAGGACTTGCAGACAAAAATTACTCTGCATTAGTTTACTGCATACGTGTGTATATTTGTATGTAAGTGTGTGTATGTACATGATTTATTTTGAATATCAATCTGTATTGGCATGGAGAAAGCTAAGTATGGGCTAATATCACAGGCCTGAAGAACTTCAAATGTTTAAAGGAAGCAGCTTCTTAAGGAGCTGTCTATTAATCATCTACCAAAAGTCACACTGGAATTATAAACATCATACAGTGGCCATTCCCTTGCCCTTCATTTCACTCAACAAACAACTACAGGGTGTTTAGTACAACACATGACAAAGTACTTGTGCCTGCTAATGTATTACTAATTAGTATATCTATATCTAAATGTATAAATATATATTCATACCAACATATATTTATGTATATATACTTATATTTACACAAACTTGCTGCATGTTTGGATTTGCTTTTTGTTTAAGTATGAAATATTGAAGTTATATATAATTTCTAAATTTAGCTTATAATGTTATCTGGGTCCAGACTAATTCCTATTGAAATCAATGAAGAAAAAACCAAACACCAAACCCCCCCTTAAAACCTCAGCCTCCCTGCAAAGGATAGCACGTTAAAACTATCTTTATCCACAATAAATACCATCTTATTTATTTCTGCCAGAGAAGTATTTATCAGTAAAGCTGCCAAGAATGACTTGATGTATGCCACAATCTTCAGAGCACCAAGTTCCTATGCATTTTTTAAATCTAAAACTTGCAATTGTGCATTTTTTATTGTTTCTAAAGAACATTACTCAGAAAGCAGCAAAACTTGAACAATTTCTGGGAAATTGTTATAGTGGTGTTGCTATTAATCATCCACGGGGCAGACTTCCTTAATTAGCATACTGGTCTCCAAACATTTAATTCCTTCTCTATCTTCTCCACTGTAAAGAGAATTTCTTATCCATGCTTCCAAGGGTCTATTTCAGGCACTATCAATCCTCCTAACCCCACAAGCTGTGTCCCAATATCTTCATATGGCCAAAAGAAATACGCTATTTACCTGAGAGAAGTGAAGAAGAGAATTCTGGGAGCAGCTCAGAAACACGAGATGACAATAACTCTCTTCAAGCCCCACCACTCTGCTGTAAAAAGGAACTGAACCGTTGCCCAGGTCCCAGGGACAATCACTTAATGTCAGCCTCAAATGCCAGAAATGGGGATCACCTAGCATAATGGCACAACACTATTGCTTGTCACATGACAATCACAATAGAGGACCTTCACCTGAACCACCCAGAAGCTGAAGAATATTCAGAAGAACAAGCTGGCCACATTTCTGCATTTCGTGTCTGGCCTTGTTCCACATCTATTCCTGTGATCTTATCTCCAGCTCTTATTTGCTATGTTACATTTCATTCCAGACTGACTGCTTCTTTTCTTTTCCCTTTCAACGATCAGCTTTGTATCTTCAAATTTTTTTTTACAGTGCAATCAATTTTCCCCAGTAAGTATATGAAAACAGTCTCCTTCAAAGCATTTTTAGTTGCCTCTCAACACCAATCACAAGGCAGATGCCAACAGAATTCCTACCAATTGATATTGTAAACGTTCAGATATGTTCCGCAGCACAACTCCTTGGGCAGATGCTGATTGGTTTTGACATACAAGGTGCACTAATGTATTACTCAAATTCAGAGATGAAGACATCTAGCATGTTGCTTTATATACACATGTTCTTAAGAGAAACATTTTCAAATTCAACATTTTTTCCTAGAACTAGATATATCAGTAGCTGAGTATCAGCTGTCTTCAAATATTACAGACTCAATGTACAGACAAACCTTGATTATAGAAGTTTTCTGCTTAAAATTTTTGATCGCTGCAAAGACCTGAATTAAAAAATAGGTATCATCGATGTTAATTCAACCAGTAAACATATTAATATTTTTCTTTTTACTTAGAACATCTTGAGCTTCGTATCTTATTAAGGAATTAATTAAATATAAACCACAAATTTTAAAAAGTCTTATAATCTCAACATAAGAGAAAAGAACGGGTTAGCACAAAGAACTTGCTAATGTGCATTAACCTGTTGCTAGCAAGTTTACTGAAAGGTATTTCTGAAGCAGATCAAAAACGCTCAGTTATGAAGGGTGGCAGATGTACCTGGATAAACCTGCAATAATTACTTGATAGTGCTGACAAGCAGAACTTACTGTGTCAACATATTGCCCAATTTCGGGGGGGGGGGGAGAGAAAAAAACAACCAGAACCCAGGCAGCAAATATTAAACTCTCATATGAATTTGAATTTCATTTTTATCAATGTAACTAAACTCCTAGCGTTAGTATGGTTTCAAGTCTTCTTTGGCAATTTCTTAAGTATAGGAGCAACATTAACCCAGATTACAATCTTGTACGCAAAATTCAGCAGTTTGTGTTAAAAAGAGCCTAATAGGAAAAAAAAATACAAGTTTTCTGAGTCTCTGAAATCAGACTGTTATTCCAGCTGGTGCTGAGAGTACTCTAAGTATTTGCTTTCAGTTGAACAGGAAAATACCAGGTTAAATTCACAGAGAAGAAAACAAGTTTCCAAATTTACATATTGGCTAATACCTTAGCTTTTCAAAACCTTAATTTTAAAATCAAAGGAACTTTTCTTTAAAAATATTTATCTACTTTTTTTCCTAGTGATGACTAAATACCTGCTAGTTTAATTTGTGACAATTTACAGTCACAATAATAAAGTTGTGTATTCATTAAAGATGTATCTCACCGACCAAACTACAGAAATAAGACCATTTACTGTTGTTTTCCCTACTAATTCAAATTTACCTGAATTTGTAATGTCTTACACATAGACAATTTAAATAAAAGAATAATTGTAAATTGAAACACATTTCCTACTCCTAAAAAATTACTGGGAGCTATATTCATTAGCTTTTGTGTTGCTGTGCTCATGCAACATAGTAGTTTCACCAGGCATATTGTGTCTAAAGTATAATCTTTCTCCCAACTTCAGTGCTACAGAGACATTGACCAGCAGTTCACCAGACGCCACTCCGCCTTCATTTAGGGTAGCCAATAAAAAATTAGCAACTCTCCCTTTAAACAGAATGAAGCAGCAAAATGAAATTTCAGGGCTGACTATAAGGTGCCTTCTTTGAATGGTACTGGAAAGTGCTTAGGAATGCATATATTTTACTTCAACAATCTCTTTAAGTAATGGGGGGGTTGGTTGGTTGGTTGGGGTTTTTTTACTTTGTCTCTAATACTAAGTGTCAATCTAGATGCTATTCCTACCATACTGATAAGTTAAAAATGTTTGAGAGTTCGGACTTCGTTGAGAAAGCGATTACCTAAAGAGAAAGCATACCTGAATGATTTCACTGTATTTCAAAACAGAAATTTTCAATTTGTCTGAGACTAAAAAAGCTAACCTAGAAGAAATTTGAGATTCACTTCACCTTGTATAGATATAACCACAAGTGCACGCTCTGCTTTTTTCAACTTAAAATGGATTTCACACCATGACAGGTTTCATTCTGCATTAAAATTGCAAATCTTCTATGTGGCCCAGTTTCAGCTGCAATTGATCTGCTTTGTCGTCATAGATAAAAAAAAAAACAGTGAAGGGCACTGCAGCTTTAAATATTTCAGAGCTATGTAGCTAGTAAATAGACTCCATTGCAATATGGCTCTGAAGGTCGTGTCCTATTGTCTCTTTTCCCTGCAAATATTTTGAACAGCATAAAATGGTTTATTTTATACAATACTTCCCTGCCATTTCTAAATCACGTCAATTGTATTAGGCATTTTCTTTCTGGA